CAAATATAACAAAAACTATGGGCTCATATGAATTTTTTCATGTAACTTGTTTTAAATATCTTAGATATAGTATGTGAACATATTTAAAATAATAAAATAGTATATATAATACCACATGCTACTATATGAGACATGTGGGGTAACTACCACCGGGTGGTAGGATGGATTTTCCCTACATATATATATATATATATATATATATATATATATATATATATATATATATATGGAAAATACATACTACCACCTAGTGGTAGTTACCACTGCCATCGCTGCCATCTGATTGCATCAAGATCCGTTCTCGTCTTAACGGGTCTTGGGTGGAGGAGAGTTAGATTTTTTTGCACCCGCTTAATTAGTTTGTTGAGCTCGCGATTTTCTTGGCTCAGCCGATCCTTTTGGTCGTCTATGTATATTTAAGATTGGATCTGGAGGATGCATGTAATCTGAATAATCCCATCTCTCTCTCGTTGATCTCCACGTCCACCGGATCTTCAACAAAACAACAATAGAAAAAAAGGTATGCGATCATGGTTTTGTTGAATTACATGCATGTACGTGACATGCTGATTGATTTTCTATTTGCTTTTGTTGAATCAGGCGGGAATGGCTCCAGTGTTCTGCAGCGCCGCCGGCCTCCGGCCATGTCCTGCTCCATCCTTGCCGACTATAACGACGAGTTTCACAGCTAGGATATCTAGGCACTTGTAACCGCAGGTTTAGCGGTCGCCGTCCTCCATCTTGATGCACCCGCGGCCTCCATCTGCCTCCATCTGCCGGCATGGCCGGTGAGAACGACGCCGGCCATCCCACGGCTTGTGCTTCCGCCGTACGCCGGCCATCCCACGGCTCCTGCTTCCCCCGTAGACGACGATAACGACGCCGACCATCTCTTGGCTCATGCTGTCACCACAGCCGACGATGTGCATAACTCGATCTGATCAGAAGCTATTTAGCTACAACGTTGTCGATGCTTGCAACCTGCATGTAATACATGGATATGTATGCATCATGCACGCTCTATCATGTACTGTACATTCTACGGATCGAATGCATCAGCTAAGTTGAATTAGAAAAACTCCGTTGTAAATGACGATATCCATGTTTTTTATACTTGTATATGTACTCTCTATATGTACTACAATTAAAGTGAATATACTCGTTGAGCAAATAAGAAGTATGTGTACTTTTTTTTCTTGAGTATATATACTCCAGTTGACAATACACATACTCCCATTGTGTTTGGAGAATTGGAGTATGGAGTATATACCCACAAAAAAAACATACTCCATACTCCTACTCCTAGTTACACACATATGCATATACTCCATACTCCATAGTTGGGGGCATATGCATATACTCCATACTCCTAACTTGTAATTACGCGCACACGTACTACATACTTCAATTAGAAAATTCACATACACCAAGACGGAAACTACAAGACCACCATACTCTAACTAACTCAGATTATACATACTCCATACTGCATACTCTAACTAGAGAAATATGTAACCCATACTTTGGTTAATTAGGCTAATAAATACATACTTTCCGTAAAAGAAATACTTGGGGTAATAACTAAGTATATAGACCTAACAAATTTTCAACAAGATGCGTCGGCCGGTCAAAAACCAAGCAGGTTGTTGAGATTTTTCTTCCTAAAATAATATACTCCGGTCAGTTGCATGCATGCTAGCTCTATTGGATTTTCACCTATCCACTAACCCGTTTGGAATGGAGGGATAATGGGGCACGTGGCAAATAGATAGATAGGGGGTAACTATCACTGCTTGTAGATAAAATTTATCATATATATATCTATATATATATATATATATATATATATATACATCTGGGCTATTCTGTTACGCGTAGCATAATATTATTCTGTTACCCTTTTTGAACTGACGGTTTCAGGTGGTTGTACTAATGTTTTCGAAGCGGTTGAATTGATGCTTTCAGTTGTGTTTAACATATCGTCTTCTTTAGTTCAAAAACTTTTTGTAATTTTTTTATCGGAATGGGGCGTGTAATATATCATTTGAAAGCTCTTGACAACCATATTTCAAGCATATTGAACGTTTTTGCAAAATCATTATGGTTTAAGAGCAGTTTTGAAAAAACCGTTTTTTCCAAAACCGAAAACCTGAATCGTATTTTCGACTCAATTTTCAAACAATTTGTCAGAATTGAGCAAATAAGATGGCGTTGGAAAGCTGGTGAAAATATGCATCTTCCATATATGTATTGTTTTTTCTAATTCTATATGATTTAAAAATAATTTAAAAAACGGTGAAATTCTGGGTGAAACGTATTTTCGCGATTTTTTGCAAACGGTTTGTCGGATTGACGCAAATGATACGGCGTTGGAAAGCTATGGCAAATGCGCAACTTTTTCATATATAAATATTTTTCTAATTCCTTAGGGTTTAAAAACGAATTCGAATACGGTCAAATTTGATTTTGAACGCGGTTTTTTTAAAAAGTTTGTCGAAATATGGCAAATAATATACCGTTGGATAGCTATCAAAAATGCGAAAGTTAGTCATGTTGAATGTTTTCTCTACTTCGCAACCGTTCAAGATTAATTTTGAATACGGCATGACAGATCCTGCTGTTTTCTCGTCTAAAAAACAGAGTAGTCGTACTGATATATGTGTATGTTTGTACTGAGCTATTTTTTGTAGAGTAATTTTGAATTGTTCCAAAAAGGGGTACTTGTACTGATGCTTGCATGGGTTTGTACTAAGCGTGTTTTCACTAACTAGACTTTGCTCTGTTTTTTGGGTAATATTTTTCTCATAAGTTTTTGACGGTTTACTGTATCGTTGCCCCTGTACTTGTATGGTTTGTATCATCGAACTGAATGATATTTTATTCAAAAAGAAAATGTGTTTGTTTTGTTTCTTTTTTTTTAACTCAATATTTTTTTGACAACGTTGTTCTGAACTTCTCTCATTTTACGACTTGTACTGAGGTACTTACTAAGCAGGATTTTTATGGGGTTTCTTTTTTTGCTTGAACTTTACAATTTGAATTTCTGCCATTTTTTTATTCCAAACGGACTACCGTTTTTAACTTGTACTGAGGTACTTACTACGCCCGAACTGGGGTGGTTGTCGCGTGTCTCGGCGAGGAAGAAGACGAAACTCGGGGGCGAGGCTGGATTCGTCCCGGTCGGTAGGATGCTGCGCAAGGCGGGGGGTGAACACATCAATGGACACATGTACTATAAAACAATGTGCATCTGTACTATCCATAACAAAAAAACTAATCTAGTACGCTGTGTTGAACTTATAACTTTTTTAGCTATGAACTTGTTGTATTTTTACAATGCCAAAGCTAGCAAATAGTACAAGATTCACCCAACAAGGGGCTAATTACATAGAGCAGCTGCACTAATACAATAGTCAGATCGGTAACTAGTAGCTAGTAGCCGTGGTTACCAACACACATACACATAAATTGATAACAAGGTAATGCACAAGTTCATGTACAGTAACACTACAAGTTCAAAAAGAAACCTGAGATAATCCTCACATATTAGTTTTTCTGTAAACAAAGAAACACCGATTAGACATACGGTCAATGAGTAATTTTCGTTCAAACTTGGCCACCTAAATCCAGCAGCAATTGAGCCAACCCACCTAAATCCAGCAGCAATTGAGCCAACCGGGAAGGAGCCACCATTGAAGTACTTGGGGGATGAAGAAACATAATCATCTGGATTCCATGTGTAAATCATGGGAGCTCCTAGGCATTTGATCAAACACAACCAACGCCTAGTACTGTCAGCACCACATCTGCAGCTGCAGGAACGCCACCAACTAAACGGGTTCTGCTGATGCTGTTGAACAGCCTAGGTGGCCAAGTTTGAACGAAACTTGCAAGATGAACCCAAGGGGAGCTCCTTCACCTGTAAGATGAACAGAAAATGCACATTAAGGTGACCTGAAGAACCACCAGATGTTGAACTGAATATACACAAGATAAGGAGATGAACGTCCAGGGGGAGGTGGGGAATAGCTAGCACCTCCCGAGCTGCAGCATAGAACGGCTTAGCGCTATGTTGTAGAACGACTTAGCGCATGTGCACAGTACCATCAACGTTGAACTTGTTGAGTCCAGATTTTTGAACCTTCGCAATAGTAATACATGTACTGGGCGGTACATGCTTCTGTTGTTGAGCAGCTGACCTACAGGAACAAAAACACTCCTGGGTGGACACACAAAATCATGATAAAAATAGTGGCAGCAAGAAGCAATCAGAAGTGAATATGCAGTAGTACTATAATGGAATATTAGTCAAAATTGAAGTTTAGATAACTATGACACACACATCATACAATAATTTTGAACTTACATAATCGTGAAACAGGAACTTCATTTTTTTAAATTTAGCAATTCTGAATGCACTAGCAATGTAATTGAATTTTTTAGACCATAGTAATTGAACTTCAAGCTCGTTTCTTTATAAAACATTTGTTTTTTCCATTTTGCACAATAATTATGACCTTGTCAGTACCTCATAAGAATTGTAGACGGCATCCTTGTCAGTACGAGTCATCAGTACTAGTGCTCTTTTTCCAAAGAAAATGTGTTAAAATAGAAACGTTATTCCTATATGGATGTTACTTTTAAGGTAAACCTTTCTTACCATGGAAATTAATGTAACAATAAGCTTACTGTTTTTTTAACACACACATCAAACTACGCATCATACTATTTTGCATTTCATTTTTGAACTGATGCAAATGTTTTTTCTGCACCTACACCTACCAATGCGACTGAACTTAAGGTCACTTAGGAAAACTGTGCAAAATGGGAGAGATAGGCATGCAAACGATGTATGCTCCAAACTGTTGTATCTTGGTCAAACCTAACAGAGAACAGTGCCTCCTGGTATCATATAGGTACTAAGCAAATGATTTTTTGTCAGCTAATTGAGCTCCCACGGTTCATCAAATTGTTCTAATGGTAAACTTTTAAAACAAAAATTCAACTCTCACAGGTACAGGTTCAGTGCAAATAATTTCTGACCAAACTAACTCTTGCCACGGGGTGTGGAAAGGAGATGGGGGGTGCTCACTTGGGGGAAAGGAGGCATGGTGTCCGGCCGTGTAGGAGCATGGTGGCAGGGGTTGACCCCAATTCAGACGTCGTGATTTAAATGAACTCTCAGCAGTAGTATTTTTTGTACTTCTCATATAGTAATTCATGGACTTGCTGTTAAATACTCCCTCCGTCCCAAAATAAGTGTCTTGAGCTTAGTACAAATTTGTACTAGAGCTAGTACAAAGTTGACACTTATTTACTTTCAAAAAAAAGTTGACACTTATTTTGGGGACGTAGGAGGTGGTGGTGGAGTGATGCCGGGATCCTTAATTACATCATGAACTCCTACACATAGTGTTTGTTTCTTATTTTTTGTACAGAGCATATGATTTGTGAGCCGCATAGGCAAGATAAATCATCCATTCTACACTTTCTGAACACTCGATATAGCAATACAAGAACTTACCGGAGAGATCACGCTGAACTGATGGGGCTCTGAAATGTAGATGGCAAGGATGCACTCCGCCGCTCTACTGTGAGGGAGGTTTTCATTATCATTGACATCCTTGTCATACTGAGCAGGAGAGATGTTGGTCATCTGGTCTGACCCCGCATTGAGTTGTGAGGCTTGGACTCTTTTTGGCACGTCACGTGATGTGAGAACTGCAATTGGAAAGGCTGAGTATCAAGTGGTAATTAAGGAAATGTTTTTTAGTATAGGCGCTAAACCAGAAAATGTGTTTCTATCTTTGTTTAACGAATTGATGTAATTTATTATACCGAATTGCTACTGCAGTGTACACATATATAACTGAATTATTACTGATTTCACTTTTATATTGAACTGACACAAAAAAATATTAGCAAAACTTGAACCTAACTTTGAGGAAGGTTCAGAACAAAAGATGATAAAATATAGCTCCAGTAGAATGGACTACTGTTATTCCAGAATGACCTGCTATAAAATGTGTCGATCGAACTTAGAGAAAATTCAGACTATTGTTTAGTTTTTATACTATGAACTAATATAACTTTGTAGATCGAACTTTCTACAGAATAATAACCACAAACAAAAGAACCATGTCACGGACCTCCTTTTTTATCCATTTCTTTTTGCCACTTTTTGTGGTGCACTCAGATGCAAGAAATTTAGCAGCTGGGACGAGTGAGTTCTCTTCCAACACACACAAAATGAGTCAACAACAGGCTGACAGCCTCCCAGCGAGAGGAGGAAGGCCAGTGGAGCGCTGTGTCGTGCATTTTTGCCAGCCGCCGCCTGTGCTCCTCTATGAAGGAGCCCTACCTATCGAGGACCCCATCGCAACACCACGTCCACCCGCAGCACGACGCCCCCTCCGTTGTTGAACGGACTCGCCGGGCGATGGTGAACGGTCTAGAGTGGTGGCGGTGAATGCCGTGGCACGAGCACTGGAGGCAGTCTACAGAACGACCTCCACCACCATTAAGCCACACAGCTGAACCATAACATGTTAAAAGGAAGAAAAACATGTTCAGATTCATGGATAAAAAAGTGCACGTGACGTAAATTATAAGTATAGCCTGACCTCCGGCTCAAATATGCTTACAGATGTATTCTGATCAATTCCTTCTGACAATGAAGAAAGTGGAAAGGAGTCAAGGCCCAAGCATATTTGAGAAATCATGAATCCTACCATGGAATTTCCATGTATTAAGACAAGGACAATACTAAAAAGAAATAGCTTTCCACCTGATTTAAAGTTAATGTTCCAGTCTTGTCAGTGCAAATTGTTGTTGCAGAACCCATTGTCTCGCATGCAAAAAGTTTCCTGACCTGTTAACAGATGGTTGAGAATGCATGAGACCAGTTGTTACTACAAGTAACACGACACAGTAACAAACACAAGCAAGGAATAGCAGCATACCAGAGCTTTATCGCTCATCATTTTGCGCATCGAAAAGGCGAGCCTGACAAAATATGTAGTGGTGCCACCTGTAGTGGTGTTTCTTCACCAAAGTCTTCAGATATGCTTGCCATCAACAAGCCCCATTCAGTGTTATTATTGCTGCTTTGTGTGGTGCCACCTCATGTCCTCATGCACGGGCACCACTGTTTTCCTTTTTTACTTCTTCTAATATATACATTGAACAGCTACTACCAATAATATAATTTGTAGACTGCCAACGTTTCTGCAAAGATGACAAATATTTATCTAACCAGAGAACTGAAGATTTTAGAAAATGTAAACTACTAACCAGATAACTACAAAAATTAGCAAAAGGGAACTAAAGAACTGCAGAATTTAGCAACTGAGGACTACTAACCAGATAACTTCAGTTTTTACAGAAGAAGCGGTTGGGATCTCGTGTTTGGCAGTGGGGAGCCGTGGCCGGAACATTGAGGAAGATGATCTTCTCGAGCGCGATGGAGTTGTGGACGGCGTCAAGCACGTCCGTGGACTGACGTCACAAGTGCCGATGCTGGAACCGGTAGCTCCATCTCTGGATTTACCCATGGCGTCGTGCCAGATGGCGAAAGGGTGCCTGGCGGCCGGGCCTCGCGTGAACTAATGCACGCGCATCACCTGGCCGGCCGGGACGAGGAGGTGGAGCCGCGCCGGCGGACGAGAAGTGGAGGCGTGCTGGAGAAGGGGAGGAGGTTGGGGCAGGGAGGATGAGGCCGGGCGGCGCTGCGCGCAGGGAGGAAGGAGGCGGCGCGGTGGCGCCCAGGTGGAAGGGGCGGCGGTGCGCTGGGCGGCCGGTGGCTGGGGCGGCAGCGCGCTGGGCGGCCGGGGCGGCGGCGCGATGGTGAGGCCGGTGGTCGGTGCGGCCGATCCACTTGCTGTGGAGGAAGGAAGGTGGGAGAAGTGGTGCGGCCGATCCACTCGCTCGCCCACGACGCTTGCCTCCGGCGGAAGAAGGCGCGTTGGGGTCGGGGGGATTCTATGGTGGTGTGCGCGTCGCGCCTATAGGGGGCGGGGGTAACAGAATATTATATATAGGACTGTTCTATTCTGTTACCTGTAACAACAGAATATTATTCTGTTACTATCCAGCCTATAAGGGAGCAATGTTGATTTTCTGAATTGAGAGAGAGAAAATAAGCCTACGCACCCACGACCCCCACCTCCGGCGACCCGCCGTGCCCCCTGCCTCACACCTCCGGTGACCCGCCGTGCCCCCTGCCTCCCACCTCCGGCGACCCGCCGCGCCCCCCGCCTCCCGCCTCCTGCGACCCGCCGCGCCCCCTGGCCTCCACCTCCGGCGACCCACCACGCCCCCTTCTCCCACCTCCGACGCCGGGCCACGCCCCCCAGCTCCCACCTCCGACGAGGCGCCACGGCCCTTCCTCCCACCTTCGGCGACGCGCCATGGCCCTGCCTCCCATCTCCGGCGATGCGCCGCCCCTGAACCCCGTCTTCTCTCTCGCGCCTCCCCCACTGGCCCCAGAACGCGGGCGTCCCTCCCACGGAGCCAAGCTCGCGCACCGCCGTCCCTCCCACCGCGCCGAGCTCGCACTCCATCGCCGCTGGTGCCCCCATCCTCGCGCCGTCTGTGACCCCTCCACTACACTCCTCTGCTGCAGGAACACGTCAGTTCGTGTGGAGCATAACAGTCCGTCAGTTTGATAGTTCGTCAGTTCGCCGATGGGATCCGCAGGTCAGCCCCTCATCTCCCACAAATTACACTTTAATCGTGTGCAAATTTGTAATCAGTTCGTGTGTATGTGTCAGTTCATCTCTGCTCTTGTCAGGTCGTGTTCATAAAAATGTTTTTTGGCTAATTTGTTGTTATGTATAGTACATATGCATATTGTTGTGTAGTACTACATGTGTGCATTGATGCGTTCGAATCTCACTTTGATTCCTCCTGGTGGTTCAAGCGGCAGCAGCGCTCGCTCCCCAATGGTTGCCCGCGCAATGAGGATACAGGGAGGCGACAGTGGTGGAGTCAGCAGCGTTCCATGGCCTTTGTCTTCCTCGTCGCATCTTTTCTTATAAACAGCGAGAAGAAAACGAGGCATAGGCTTCATGCTCTCCATCTCCTGGTAAAGGGGAGTTAAGCTCTACGGCCACTTGGATGTGGATGCTCACGCTCCTCCACTGGGCGAGCTCCCAGGGCACCACGAGGATTGATATTGTCATCTCTATCCCTCGGCCATGAGGACCAAGAGGTTGCCTGTACCCTGCTGAGTGAAATGCCACCTCCGACCAGCACCTGGCCTGATGTCGTACGTAGACCGCCGTGCTTTTTAAGATTGCCTGTATGCATGTACATGAAAAATCTCAACAATTCCGTTTCTTGTCTACATGATTTTGTGCTAGCTTATCACAAGTTCACGTTGCATGCTCAATGTAGTAGCTAGCTGAAGAAAAGTTATTGTTCTGTAGCTTTGGTCTTACCATTGTGGTGCTTGTGTTATTGCGTGGGAAAATGAAAGAAAGGAGTATTTTTGCAAATCAATGAATGACAACAAAGTTTGTTGTTTCCCCACCCAATTTAGAGCTCCAAAAAAGTTCAGAGTTCAGAGTAGTTGTTTGGAGATGAACAATAAATAAGTATAATAAAACAAAAGAAAAATTTGTAAAAAGTACGACAAAGTTCACTATGTATTTCACCATCAGTACATAAAGAAATATTATATAAAATTCCCTGCTCACAGACTATATTTATAGCCTAATGGTTAGTGTCAAAATGTGTTGTTCTTGTTTCTTTATGGTTGCTTCTTTATTATATGAATATGAATGTGCTAGCTAGCTTAAGCTTAGCAATACCTTTTGGAGTCAATAGGTGTAGCTCAAATAATTCTTGGGCCATTTTGTCATAACAATAAGGAAGGACAAGCTAACAAGATGATGAAACCATGTATATATAACTTGATGACTGTCCAAATTGAGAAAATCCTGAAATATTATATGTGCTCTCTTTGTATCAGTTCTTATGCTTGTGACAATTCTGCACTCATAATGTGCTCGGTAACTAGAAAAAAATACATAAGTTCGAAATATACTTACCATGTTTATTCAGTGTTTTTTCAGTGGTTATTGGTTTCCTCTTGAGCAGATGAACTACATTGTCACATTAAACTGCAGGGAGATGTTCCCTCAGTCCTCTCTCGACAAATCCAATAGTACAGGTTCTCCGGCGCGCCAAGTATTGCCGGCGGCGATGCCTGCATCATGGCCCATTGAGGAGATCATGCCCGTCAGTTGTAGGTTTTTCTGTTTGCACATTTATTTGTTTAGCTTTAAATTTTGTTGTTTTCCACATCTGATACTTGTGTTAATGCTTCTATGTGTGCACTTCTGATCCCATTGTGAGTAAAAAGACAAGTGAGATAAGTACTTATTTGGAAAGTTTGCAAGTTCAAACACAAAAACCTAGAAGTTCATTGAAAAAGTTTGGTGTGGTCTTCTCCACCACGAGCCCCAGCGTGGATCACCTACAGCGGCCAAATCCCGGCGCGCCTAGCCTCTGCTCGTGAACCCCGCCTCCATCAGCTCCACTCACCGGAGCCGTCAGTCCGCAGGAGTAGGGGTAGCAGGTTCACCCGACGTGCGACGCCTTCTTCCATCTCCAAAAATCTTGTTTATTGAGTTCAGTTCTTCATCGCATGTTTCACTAGCTAAAAAATGTATGTTGTTCTGAAATTGCTTGCGAACTACTAGCTGAAAAATAATCCCTCTTCTAGTAAGTTCTGGTCAGAGTTCAGACTATACCAAATGTCTAAATTACATGGTGTGGTCTTCTGTTCTTTCCGTTCATTTCAAGTTAACTATAGCTGAACTTGTGTCGTGTTGATACTGAACTTGTGTTTTGGCTGATTCTAAACTGATGCGTATCCAACATTGGTGTTTAAACAATTTTTGGTCCATTGACTGTTTGAACTTGCAACCTTACTGCCTTGAACTATGGTCTAAAAAACTGAACTCATGCAGGTACTTGGTGGTGTAGACTTGGTAGCGGTTATATTTTGGTTCGATTATATATCAACAACAGTGCAATGACTGAAAGATCATCAGTCCAAAATATATATGCAGGCACCAAATTCTGCTACTGCTCCGACCACTCATGCCAAGAAAAGGGAGCACAATTCGCAAGGTTCAGAGCAATCTGTCATAGTTGAT